TACTACTACTACTACTACTACTGCTGCTACTACTACTGCTGCTGCTACTACTATTGCTACTACTACTACTTCTGCTACTACTCCTACTACTACTACTACTACTACTACTACTACTACTACTACTCCTGCTATAACCTCTGCGACTACCAATAATAATAATCACTAAATACTAACAAGCGCTGCTGATCACTAGCGACTACTAACTTCTTCTGCTACTACTACTGCTACTCCTCCTGCTACTACTGCTGCTACTACTACCAATAATAGTCGCTAAATACTGACTAGTGCTACTGTTAACTACCGACTACTAACTTCTACGAAGTAGTACCAGCTCATTGGTTCTGCCTGCCGTTAGCCCACCACTACCAACTGCGTGCTGCTGCTAACGGTTGCTAGCCATTCCAAAATGTCAATCAGCGCAGCTGTTAACTGCTACGAACTACTAGCTACAACGACCACAACAACAACAACTACTACTACTACTACTACTACTACGACGACGACGACGACGACGACGACGACGACCACTACTTCAGCTATTTCTATGGCTACTGCTACGAATATGAATACCAATACTACCACGGATACTGACTCTGATTCATATTGCTATTGATACTGCTATTAGTACTAATACGAATACTTAGTAACAGTAAGAATGACGATAATACTACTACTACTCCTCCTGCTGCTGCTGCTGCTGCTAGTGCTACTGCCACTGCCACTGCCACTGCCACTGCCACTGCTCCTGCTCCTGCTCCTGCTCCTGCTCCTGCTGCTGCTGCTGCTGAGCTGCTGCTGCTGCTACACCTGCGACTACTAAAGATTCAGTTTTCTACAGTGACTGTTGGTAGCGAGTTTATTGCTGCCGGCACTATCAGGCCTTTCTTCTTCTGCTTCTATACATTTTGTCTCGCGAATACGCTGCTGAATTGTTGTTTTTGTCGCCAGCGACAATGTCGTTGCAATTATCCTCATCTCCTGACCAGCTCCGTCACCGGCATCATGGTCTTCCCGAATGCAGCATCATACGATGTCACCGCCGTTTGAGGGTTTAGGCAGTTGCCGCGGATGTGCCGTTTCCGTCTCCGTTGCGATTGTGGTCATAGTTGTCGTTGCTGCCTTGTGAGCACCACAAAGAGTCCTGAAAGCTGCCGTGCCGCAGACCATCGTGCACGAAGTCTTGGCGAAGAAGCCCAAGCGCCGAGTGGAGTGGGTGCGACGTCCAATACCAGGGGTAGCAAGGGATTGCATGGGGCTTCCTTCTTGTACGTGTGCTTTTCGGCTTTGCTACGTCTGTCACGTTACGGCTTAGATCTCTTGAGTTGTTTTGAGTCCTTCTTTGTGAAGCAGTTTGACTGATTGTTTGCGAGTCACGACGCGCAGCGAAGAGCTGGCACGCAAGCTCGGTAGCAGGAAGTGTCAGGCACAATCTGTTCCTGCTCCTCCTTTTCCTCATCATCATAGACACGTCATGAAACTCGAATCGTGGCCGTTTCAGCTACTGGGCTCAAGAGAGACGCGGGGACCTTCGGGTCACCCGCCAGGCTAGCGACTCAGGCCCGTGTATTGCCGTACCGAGAGATGCAGCCGAGATAGCAAAGCCAGTCCTACAGAAATCTGCGAGGCTTAGGCTCCCGGGATTCCTCAAACCTCAGAAATCGTGGGCCTCGACTGATCCGTCGAAATTGGACCTCTGGAGGCCACTGTATTTTCGAGTGCTGGTTGTCTTTCAGATTTCGATTCCTGGAAAACTACGGTCTCTTGCACCAGCACTATAGACTTGGGGCTTTTAGCTGTCTTTTGCCGTAAGTGTTCACTTGATTCACGGCTTGTGGGCTCGAGGATTGTTTGGGGTTGTGTGGTGTTTTAAGATAAGTCTTAAGAGCTCAAGCAAGAGGCGGGCCAGCAATCACACGCTACTGCGTGTCGTGGAGGTACCATTACGCCGGTCCTGGCTTCTGAGCTGGCTGTTGTTGATGTCGGTGTCGCTGGCATATATAAACCTTAGCGCTGGATCTGTCCTGATCAAGTCGTCACCATCAGCAATACCATCTTCAGAAACATCTGTAGCATCAACATCGTCTTCTGAGGCGTCATATGACAATTGAAACCTTAGGTTCACCAATAACTACGTGACTATCCGATCCTTCCTATCATCATAGTTACCATCATTGCTGTTATGAGCGGAACAGGTTTTTCTTCAAGACTGTCAGCATCCTGAACAGCATGATGAGGGCTTTGCCCGTCAAAAGCATTATCCCACTTACAACCAGCATCAGCTTTGCCAGTGTTAGCGCTGGTGCAGGTGCTAGTGCTGCTGTTGGTTACCTTGCTCTGCCTTATATATGTACACTTGCCGTTGCAAGTATGTGTCAAAGGTAGGAGCGACAACATGGCCCCATGGAGAGACTTGTCTACAGTGCCACTGTTCTCGTACCCTCTGATTTGCATTCACTGCGAGAAACATCAAATCTTGACCAACACGACCGTATCCACCCATATCGATTTCCAGTGTCACGCCTCTGCATCATCATCTTTGTCAGTGCGCTCGTGCTTTCTGTGCTGCTCACTGTTGCGGTTCCACATTTCGTTCTTTGTCCCTGGCCTCAGGTGCTGCGCCCATTCCGGCCAGAGCAATGCCTCGCGGGCGCAGCTCTTCTTGCGGCTTTCCTTTATTTCGCTACGTTTGTCCATCATCGGCGTTTGGCAACAAAGCGCTCAATTTCAGATCCTCATGCCGAGGGTCGTGCATTCGAGAGGGTACAGATGCGCATACCTGCGGACGTTCATTAAGAGGTTCCTCAGATTGCGAAATTCACGTTCCAAACGAGGTTGCCCAAGGGGGCAAAAGCTGACGATCGCAACCCTCTGGTTGGCACTCGCCTCAGCATCCGAGCTTAGGGTCGGCGAATGAGATCACAGGATGCAACGCTTCACTTGCCTTCGCCTTCTCACGCTTCGGCTCTGGCCGGCGACAGATTTCCAGGTAGCGATGTTCAAAATCAAGGAAGGTCTTGGCTCTGTCGCAGCGTCGGGCACATTCAGAAGTAAAGGATCAATGCTGTGCCCCTTTGTCCGCTGTGCCAAGTTGCGACGGCCCAATTCTGCTAGCTAGCCCAGCGGCCCAACGACACCAGCTTTTTGAACTTGGAACCCATGATCAATTCATAAGCTGGCCTGGTTTATCGAAGCGCTGGTTTTCATCGTAGCACCTGGATATACCCGGATGTGCATTCCGGTTCGGGATAGTGAGGGCAGTGGGGTTGGCATTCAGGGACTCGTGACGCTTCAATATACATCTTCAGCCGCAGCAGCAACAATGTTCGCGTGGTGCAAAGTCAATGCGACATGCATTTTTCGTGGCCTGCGTGCGACAGACCGCATGCCGCATCATGTGGCCGTGCCCAGTTGCTCGGTTTGTCGTGCTTTCTCCCGCTTTCGGAGATGTTGAGTTTTGGACCTGCGTTTGATGTGGCCGGCGGCCTGCGTGAGAGGAAAAGTGAGAGGAAAACCACTTGTTTGGGAAATACGCGTGAACAGAAGCAACTGCGCCCACCCCAAAGAAAGCAAGTTAACACACATGTTTTCGACCGAGCAAAAACCTCGGAATATCGCTGATGCTTTCGGCACTTGAACCAGGTGAAGCACGACAAAACCTGATGGAATCGGCTGGTTGCTTTAGTGCATTTACAGGGTGATCCGGCCAACAACTATAACTACAACGACTACAGCACTTACAACACCAGGAGCAGCACCACCACCGCAGCAGCAGCACCACCAACAACAAAGAAGAAGAAGAAGAAGAACAACAACAACTACTACTACTACTACTACTACAACGGCAGCAGCAACAAGAGCAGCAACGGCAACAGCAACAAAGATGACATGCCCTCAGCCAGATATTAGCAGATAAAGAGTCAAGACTGAAGTCAATTGAATCGTCCTATTACGCAAAGGGATCGTTGGGTTTGCTAGCCATGGTTAGCTCTCGGTCCTTTTTAAACGGAGCTTTGCCCATGAGCAGCAAGGATGAGGTGCACGGGTCCTGCTAGCTTACCTCAACCGGGTATTTACCTCAACGATTCGCTACTGCTCTTCCTGCATCTGTTTTACATACCTCTGCATAGTGCTCCTGATCTGACTATTTCGTTCCACAATCTGCTCAGATTTGCTTGATGTCCTGCTGGGTGCTCTGGAGGACCGCACGAGCATCGGGTTTCCGAGCTTCAGGTTCAGGATTGATATTATGCAAAGAAGTCTGTGGCAGCTGCTAGGTTCTAGGTTGAAATTTACGTAGGCAGACAAAGGATTGCGCACAATTCTCTACAGCATCTGTTACCTCTCTCAATGCCATGCTCTGGTTGTCCCCACGGAGCAGGGCGAATCCATGTTGGGAGCTACCGGCAACTGCATTCTGAAGGACGGGCTGGCAACACGAGAAGATCGCTTCCAAAGGCTACATCGCAAAGGAGTTTAGGATTAGGTTCAAGGTTCAGGGCTGCTTTTTCCAACGGCACGAAGGTTTGCATTCTCCCCCACTTGCAGCAGGAACAGCTTACAGCAAGTTTTGCGAATACAGTCGGACTGTGTGACTATGCCTATGCTTGTCGCTACATGCATGTAGATGGGTTTCGGCAGTTGCGCATAGCTGCATAGCTTTCTATTATAGAACTGTGTCATATACGTTTAGCTGCATTTGTCGTCACTGCATGCATGTATGCATATACGCATGCATACATGCACGTGTATCTATATATATATATATATGTATATATATATATATAGGTGTGTGTGTGTGTGAGTACGTTTATGTGTACGTGTTTGTATGTATGTTTGCGTGTCTGTCCGTGTGTCTGTCTGCCTGCCTGTCTGTCTGTCCGCCTTCATGTATGCAACAATGTCAGAACGTATGTATGCATGTATGTGTGTATGTGCATACACATGTGTTAGAAGCACATATACACACACACACACACCCTCGCACGTGCAGTTGCTTGTCCAGGTACCTCCGTCCGAACTAGACCTTTGGCCACCTTTGTCAACTTGGGCGATCCTTCGTCGCAGATGGGCCAGGGGTTTCCTCCGACTGATTCGTTGCTAACTAGTTGAGACGGTGAGAGCAGTCGGGCGATAAAGGTCTGTCGGGACTGTTCTGAATCCCGGTTCGGCTCCGGCCCCTTTATGCTAGTACCCTAGAGGTTTTGAAACTGTATGGGAGCTTTATGTTTCGGCGGCTGCACAGTGTCTGCACTTCACCCTAAAGCGTACACGCAGAACTCCTGTCACATGCAACCAAACACGCAGGTCCAACATGTTGGTCGGGCTATTTCGAAGTCCTGCAAGTGACCTCGACACAGGCGTCAAGATCGGCATTGCGTCTAACACGAGAAGTGCTTGTCTCAATGGTCGGATGACGATCAGACTGTGCGTTGCATCATTTCCGCTTAGGACCCTGACGATGGCGAAGAAGAGGAGGCAGAGAGCGAAGGCAAGGAGAGAAGCCTGAAGAACCAGGAGGAGGCAGGGTGCTCTTGGTATTTGGGAAGCTCAGTACAAAGTTTGCGTTGTATGACTATTGCGTCTCGTTGTTCTGCCTCGTGGCGGATTTCAATTTTTCGCACAGACTTGCCAGGCCGTGCCTTGCAGGCCCTCGATTTTCAGAGCAATACACTGCATCGCAGTTCGGTGGCAGAGCTTCAAACCCGAGAGGAACCACGATCGCGAGCAGTGCAGGTCATACCGCCCGGTGCCGACAAGGTCCAAGAAGACGATGACTTGCCAGACGAGGCGCTCTGCCTTTGGAGACATTTTGGAGACCCAAGCTTGCAATTCCTGTATGTCACCCTGAGCTCCATACCGAAAGCCTTGAGAAGTCGTTGAAATTGTGAAGAACAAGTAAGCTTGCTTGTGAACGACGAAATAGTTGCTCCGCAGCCTGTTTGTGTCAGCCCTTACTGTGCCATGCTGGTTCGAGCAGAGGATGTTTCAGAAGCCACATACACCAGGCAAGAGAGTTTGGATTCAAACGTTTGCGGCCTAGTTTCAAAGTTTCACATGTAGGATTTGGAAAAGTTCGGACCAAGGTGCAGACGAAGCCGGCAGCCGGCCCAGAGCACCCCGGCTTGTGACATCGACTTTATGACATCGTGCAGGGAGTTGCTTTGATCATTGGGCTTTCACAGGAACTGAGGCTCCTGTATTTCTGGGACATCG